AAAAAAAAATAGAGGGTTGCTGTAGGAGAGTTGGTCGCCAAAAAAAACGTCAAGTTACCATAATGTAAAGATCAACCCATAAAATAACTGTTAAGCAAATTAAATAAATCCCTCCTTTTAACTTGCCAGAATTTTAAGTATATGCAAAAGAGGTCTTAATGACCTCATTAAGAACTTAAATTGTAACTGTCTAAGAATTCAGAGCCAACCTCTTACAATAATGTGAAATTTTAAGTGTAATAAAAATTTTTCTGAGTACAAGAGCTTGATTTTCTTCAAAAGGTAACATGTCAGCAACTCGGGTCCTTCCAGTCTGGAAGGAAAAAGACTTTAGCAAAAAAATTCCTAAATCATGATTACCATTTAGTTACATTATCTTATTCTTATTTAAAAATTTCATTTAAACTTTTCTGCACTTTCATTCCGTTCATTTATTCCATGAATAAAATATCTTCCTCCATTGCTCTCCAGAAGAAATATAGTGTAAAATTGAGACAGCGTGTTTTATTTTAGTACAACTCTGCTACCTAACCTTAACTTACATGTAAGCAATTCTGGCTCACTAGACCTCAAAGACACTGTTTTCAAAACTGCAGCTAATGTGCTAACAAGTGCGTACTTTAAATTTGAGTGTTAGCTGAAGAGCCTAACATTACCTCATGCACACAATTAGCTTCTTACTTTTAATTTAAATTTCTCTTAATTCTGCTAGCTTGCATATAAATGTCTCATTCATACAAACCAATTTAATTATTATAACTATGCAAGTTTTAATATAGTTTAACAGATATCAATTTGAGAATACTGTTAACATTTATAACCCAAAACATAATGCCAACTGCATTGAATAAAATATTTACAATACATTTAAGTTAGAAAATTCAACTTGTACTTTACATCAAGATACAGAAGTTGCTTAGAAGTTCTTAGCATTTTCATTCACGTTTCCTCATATCAATCTTCTCAGACTAAAATTGAATTCCTGTTTCTCAGCTAATTTTAAAATGAATGTATATGATTGCAGTTTAACTTCTGAGTTCTTGCTCTTTAAAAAACTAAAATAACCTCACTTGAGATAAAATTCAGAAGAGTCCAGCAATTAGATACTAGATATAAAATTAAACTGAACCATAGTAAACAGAAATTAAAATTGCACACCTTTTTCTTTTTCGACTTCTTGCATTCTCTTTCTCATGAAATCGTTCCAATTGTGATAGGAATGGACCTGGTGAATCTGCTACCTTTGACAGGTCTGAGTCTCATCCTCTGCTATAGCTTTCCGCTTTTTATGCCTTTCATGTAGTCTTGGCACCTTCCCTCAGTGTTGAAAACTTTCCTCCAACTTAGTTCTGATTGAATTAGGCTGTGGAGTCGGAATTGGAGTTAGGCAGATTTTTGGGTGAAAGGAGTTGGAGCTGGAGTTGCTAAAAATAAGTCGACTCCGACTCTGGTTTTTACTGAACAGTTTGAATTTGAAATGAAATTAAAGTGAATTGGAAAAAAAAAAAAAAAAAATTAATGACAAATAAATTATTATTTTTATTTATGAACTATATACATTAATAAATAGTTATTTTCTCTTTTATTGACATATTAATAAATAAATATAATGGAGGGGGATGGATGTGATATTTGCCATTATTGATTAAGCTGATCTGTTTAGTTACTTCATTTAATTACAAATCTCATTGGTAAATTTAGGTAAGCAGCAATAGCAGCAAGAATGCCTAAAAATGATACTATTCTTTGGAAGCGAGCAGATAAAGGAGCTATTATTGATCAAGCAATGCAATGGGGAAGTACATATTTGATGCTATTAGAGGTTGTTAGAATTAAGAACTTTTTTAGAAGCTGTAGATAATCCTAATGTTTCACTAACAGAAAGACTGTGGAATGATCTTGTAGAATTGGAAACTCTTCTTTCTACAACGTATATAGCCACAAAAAAACTACAATCTGAAGAATTAACAGGAGGCGAGAATGGAAGAAAGTGATGTTTGTGCTTTCTGAAATGGATGGTTTATTGTAGAAGGAATCAGTTTTTCAATGAAAAAAGAGAAACAAGATTGCTAGACAATGAGATCTTGCTGGTTTCAATATATGTAGATCCAAAATACTGAATTTTATTGGATGACGAACAAATTAAAAGTCAAAGAAAGCCATCTATGAACTTTCATTCAGAATGAAATTATTCTAAAAAAATTGGAGTATTCAAATCAGGGCTGTCAAACTGGAGACATTACAACCGAGTCTCTATCATCCTTTTCCAGTTATGAATTAGATTTTGAGATATGTTTGGATAATATTGAAAAGGCTAAGGCAAAGCAAATGAGAATAAAGAACCAAGAGCCTTTAGATATGAAAATGAAAAAATACAAACAAGATTTCTACACTGCCTTTGAAGAAATAGAGAAATATGATTGCTTTGGAAAGTCATCTCTTATAAAACTTATAAAATTCTATCCTGAAAAGTTAAAAGAAGTAGACATAACAGTAACAGCTCTTCCTTCTACTCAAGTCAGTGTGGAAAGACTATTCTCAGCTCTAAAGTTTATCAAATCGGATCTATGGTCCTCTAACAAAGAAGATCTTGTCGAAGCTATACTGTTTCTTAGAAATTACTAATTTCAGTTTTTCTATTTCAAAATAAATGCTAATTAATATAAATAATTTGCTATGCCATCAATTTTTTTGCTGTAGCATCTATTACTTCTTTTAAATTAAAAAAAAAATAAACTGTAGCCCATGTGTATATGTTTACATATACATGAGGGAGTGAGAGTCTAAAATTTCAGGAGTCGGAGTCTGTCATTTCCCCTACCGACTCCTCAGCCCTGCCTAGAATTCCCTGCTGGTCCCTCTTTCGGCATGTCAGGAAATCGAAAAAGATGAAATTTCCTCGGTTGACTCGAAGTCTCAGATATTTGTTCTGTTGGCTGCTTGTTCCTTAGTAGTCTTTTTGTTGGTTCGTCTCTGTACTTACACCTGTTGATAGAAATATCCTTCGGATTCTTTGTGAGCAGTGACCCTCCTTTTGGTTGTTCTCCTCTTCTACTTGATTCATTTCATCTTGGCTTCTTGCTTTCTTTGGCGTAAACACCAGACTTCATAATGAAACACAGTTTTAGGGTCATCTTTAGACTTGGTGCGAATTTGGAAATAGCTGGATGTTATATCCAACGTTGTCATGTATTTTGTAGATTTAATTTTTTGGATAATTTGTTTTTCAATTATGGGCAAGAGATGGGTATGATATTTGATTTATATATTAAAGTTTTCTATAATCAATAGAAAATGTTTTGTCATTGGTGGGTGGGAGATCATTTTTTTTCCCTATGCAACACCACCAGGCTACCATAAGGACTGGAAATTGGCATTATAATTTTGTTTTTTAACATTTTCCCAATATGCTGCTCAATTATCTTTTCTTTAATTTTGTCCTAGCGATATGGTTTCACTCTCACTTGGACCACAGCTCGTGTATCACTTTCATGACTATGTGCATATAACCCAGACTATTATAAGAAATATTTGAAAATTCACTTACTAAGGCTTTTATTTTCCGTTTCTCTTCTGGCCTGAAGTGGTAAATTCCAGCATACCCTCGTGGAGTAACGGTAGCACACCTAGCGTGTACTCGGGTCTCGTTGAGGACATTGCTCATTTTTCACGTCTTCTGCTTTAAGATAACCTAATGACTGTACAGTGGCACCCAAACTCAAATTTGATACTTAAAAAATTGATTAAAACTAATTTTGATTTTTGCTAGTTAACAATAGCCATATTCATTAGCATACTACATTTTCCTGGATAGTATAATCATTAATTTTTGAAGAATTATCTATTTATCTGTCTATCTGTATGCATATAATGCATATACATGTATTATACACGAGGACTGTAAATTAAGTAGGAGCAACGTAGCCCAGAAAATCGAAGAACATGAGGCATGTGCAAACAAGGTATTGGAATAGTGAGATGGCATAGTTATCGGTTGGGAACAAACATCACTTGAGATAGCTAACTATGTTTTTTGGTCCTTTGTGATCGGTTTTCGGTTCCCATGGACATAGCGCCACCACTAGAGCTTCTCGTTGATGTATAATAAATGTGCTGGGCAACCTAACGATACGCTATCAACACCAGTTACCACATGGAGTCTTGCCACCAGCATCATCCCCCAGTAGAATCAGACATTCCTTTCGTTACTCTTGTATTATTTACTTGTGGTGTTAGAAGTTAACATCTATCGAGCTTAGTGAAGTAAAATTTATTTTAGATGAATCACAGTACAACAATAGAGTAGAATAATTATATAAAAGAGGTATGTGCTAATTTCTTATCATATCATCTTAACATTAAATATGTTATATGACACAAAATTATGAATACTGATGAAAACGTATTCACAGAAAGTAAAAAATAACTAGGTTATGTATCTCTCCGTAATGGGATTTTGTAGTGGAATTAGAGAATGTTTCTGATTGCTGTTACTGATCATTTTGTTTCGTTTTAGTAGGGAAACGAAATAAGCCCAAGTGTGCCAATATGATGCTAAAAATGCCTGGTATGGCTTTAAAAGAAAAGTATCTAATTTTATTCTTATTAAAAATACCTGTAATGTTTTAAAACCAATTGTAAAAAAGTATTGCATGCAAGCTAAAAATTGTTAAAAATTTGCATATAGTAGTTTTTTTTTTTTTTTTTTTTTTTTTTTTTTTTTTTTTTTTGTATCGTTCGTATAGAAAAACGCTGAACAGACTGATCATCAGGAGCCCGACCAAAACCCCTGGAAATTATTTGAAAGGCCTTATAAAAATGAAGTTTAACTGATATTGTTTTAAGGACGCCGAAGTAACCAAAAAGATAAGAAATCTTTTTAGGAATATTATATTCGTGAAGTTTGTACCGTTCTCTTCTAAGCAAAAAATCGCGTTTTCTCAGTTTTCTTTATGATGTATTGCTTGAATCTGTTAAGACTTGTATAATGTTCAGACCCGATGACAGCCCAAGATGGGCACACCTCTCGACCTAAGACAGATGCATCGGTATTTTTAAAGGTTTTATTTTTTAACAGTAAAATGTTGGTCTATGAAATTGAATAATTTTGTTACACTAGATTTTGTTTTCTTTCTTTCTTTCTTTTTTCTTTTCTTTTTTTTTTTTTTTTTCAGTGTATAAATGTACTTGAATTTTCTGTACTTATGCAGAATATTTAAGATGTCAAATTTTAGAAGATTCTGTATAAATATTTCAAGTTTGTCACTATAGGATTTGAAGGGCTTAATTTTTCAAGTAAACCATCTTTCACCTACCACAGCAAGCCAGTTTGTTTTATTGTAAAAAACCTTATTGAAGCAAAAAATATTGTAATAAGTGACTGGTAGAGTATATAAATACAAATGCAAGATGTAAGCCTGTTGTAATTATACAGAATATTTGAAATAAGCAGCTATAGACATTTTTTCCTTAAATATTTATCCTAGATAAGAATTGAAGGGCCCATCTCCATCCACTTTGGTAGATTTTGTGTTCATGGGTCTTTTTGTTTAAAAAAAAAAAAAAAAATGTTCTTTGCATTTCAGTAAAAAGCCATTGGAGTAGCCATAAAAAATAATTTTTACTAGCACTTTTAATGAGGACAAATGTTTAGAATATAAGTTAAAAATGAATTTTTGAAATGTTTTTTAATTATCCGAAAGTTTAAAAGGGTGGAGCTGGGCCCTTCTTGCTGCAAGCCTTCCAATTTCTAATTAAAACGTTTCTCAAATAAGGTAGAAAGTTTTATGAAAACAATTTCCAATTGTGGGTTAATTTAGTCTTATTTTTTATGTAGTTTTGCCTAAAGCAAAAGTTCCAATTATAAAATATTTGTCGAATATTAGGTTCACACCTTTATGTACAAAATTTGCAGAACTTAATAATATAGGACCAGCTGCAAAGTCCGTATTTAATAATTAATGCTGCTTTATACAGTGCAGAGCCATTAACTGTTAAAATGGATAACTTGTAGTGTTGATCTCTAAATATGGCAGAGAAATCTTAAATTTTTCTTGGTGTAGAAAGCAGGGGAAAATGATTTAAATTAGCAAATTTGGAACTACTCTTATATATGCCTTCAGTTGGTGACCTTGCCAAACATTTATGGCAAGAAACTCCACGGCTCCATATTACTATCTAAATTTTTTGTCTACATTTCAAACATTAAGCTGAAAATGTCTGGAACACGTGCAAAAACCACGTTTTTAACACACAGTTTATGCCAAAAATAAAATTAAAAAAAAAAAAAAAAAAAATTAGATAGCAAAAACGTAAAGTTTCTAACCAAAAATATTTGACAATAATCCATATACATAGCGATCTGAACATCAGAGAATTGCACAATGTATGGAGCAGAGGAATCTAGGAATTATGCATAACTTGCTAAAATAAACGGTACTTTTCCGTTTTGCCGGCGCAAACGATAAAAGTCGCCAATAATGGTTTAACTGATGCCAGACGGAATATCTTCGCTGGTAACCTTTTACGCCTCAGTTTCAAAACACGTTGCAGCCATTTCTTATCAGATTGTTTCTTTCAGTACTGGCATACAATAATATAAAAATTTTACACGATATTTAAATTTTATCCCCTAAGACAATTCACGGAAATTAAGTCAATTAGAACGCAATTACACCGCTCATCCGAAGGCGAAATCAAGTGTTAAATTCATCAATTCTAATGAGAATGCACTAGCGAAGTAAAGCACTGCGGTTTCACATAATTTCTAAGTAAGCTATCCGTACGAATTGAAATAATTCTTGCATTTAATTCTACTTGTATTCCTAAATGTTAAGATTTAAATTGAAATTAATGTAGATAATTACTGAGAGAATTAGATTTATGTAGCGTAGTTTACGTGAGATGAGATCATTTGGATCACGTGATACGAATCGGCGAATCAGGATTTTGAACCATGAAATCATAGTAAATTCTTAAATTAATGTCTTTTTACAAATTTATTGGCTTTTTACAAAATGTTAAACCATATTAAAATGTTTATGCCTTCAAAATAAAAAAAAAATAAAAAAATTCTTAGAATTAACATTTTTTATGTGTATACTGTATGTTGTCGCCAACAAAGTCTGCTTGGCGAGATTTGCGCCGGCGAAACGGAAAAGTACGAAATAAACTAACATAACAACAATAAATTTCAAACAATACCATGTACACAGTGTTCTGTATTAATTAAAAAAAAATCAGTGATTTGCACAATCTAGACATCACTTACGTCCTCAGTTTGCAATTTATTTTAGCACAGAAATAAACTAAAATAAATTGCAAACAATTTTAAAAACAACAATAACAACAGAAGTTCATATAAAAAAACAATGAACATGACATTCTACAAAATAAGAAGAATAATACATTCAAATGCACTTACCATCGTGAATGCTTTTCCAAACAGCAAAAATATCGATTTCATCAATTTCCACCACTTTATCCTTTATTATAGCAAAAAAGCAATGAATATGACATTCTACAAAATAAGAACAACAATAAAATAAAATGCACTTACCATTGTGGATGCTTCTTAAAACAGCAAGAAATATCAATTTCAATCATCAGCAAAACTCATCAATTTCCACCACTTTAGCCTCCCCTCCTATCTTCTGAGACACAGAGCATATAAAGTCCAGCATCATTCATGAATAAAATTTCGACAGTCGCACAACGTCTGTGAACAAAAGTGACACGATTTTTCTCGCCACGTCTTTCTGCGATTCAAAATTTCGAAAGTAACGATAAAAACTTCCTCCAAAGTTAACTTACTACACAAAAACCACAATCCAAATCTTAAACTTCACTGACAGCCATAAGCCATTTCAAAACGCCCACCAAACCAACCAGCAAATAAAACCACTACAACAAAATCAAGTTTCAACGTCAAAAGGTTGCCATACAAACAACATCGCACAGAAAACCATCGTAGAACACACAATAGCGCCAGAAACCAGCATACCACATTTGGCGACCTGAGGGCATATATAAGAGTAGTACCACAAATTCATTGTTGAATGTCTGTGAATTTTCATAAAAAGCTATGGAATTTATTTGTGAAACTTTTCAAAGCAAAATTCATGAATGGAGTTACCTGAAAATGCTTCGTATGGTTTGCATCCAGTTTTTAGCTGTAAATTATTGTTCTTTGAGCAAGCTTCATATGGTCATTAATAAAAGTCCTTAGTTCCCCCCCTTAAAATAATTTTTGGTTCTTAAAAATCCTTAATTTCTGTCTTTTTTTTTCTTTTTTTACGACTGCTGTTTTGAATGTAAATTAACATTTTAGTATAATGCTTTTTGACAATTCATTGACAAACATAACATGAACATTCATTCATAGCAATTTGATTGGTTATTGTTTTAATTCATTCTTCTAATTATAAATGGTGTGAAATTCAAATTTTTTCGTTTTTGTGAAATTCTCAAGACCTACCTCAATCAAACTGTAAACATTTCAAAATTATTTCTTTCTTCGTGAATGAAGAGTTCATAAACTATTACATCAAAAACACTTTTTGCTTTTAGAGACATGATTTCTTTTATTGTCTGGTGCTGAATTTGGTGATTTTCTTATAAAACGTTTTATTCGGAGATTTGCCTTTTTTTTTAATGCAAACATAATAATATTGATATTAAAATGATGATAATATATTAAAATTATATGTAAGAAATAACATTAAAATAAAACATTTTTAAGTGACATTAACCCCTTAAGGCACACATTAATTTCTAATTTTCGGTCAAAAAATCACCTATTTTTTTTTTCTTGCATAATGATGCCAGGGTTAGCTTCAAATCGAAATCTCGGTGGTGCAACGTTTGGTTGATTTATACTAATTTGATACCAATTCCTTGCTATATCCAAAATCTCGTTGTCATTATCTTCTGATTCACTTCCATCACTCAAGAAATCATCACTCTCATCGCTGAAACGTCTGATAAATTGGCATATTCAAAATTGTCATCGTCAGAGTCGCTCATTATCAGATAACTTTTTTTAAATTACAAAAACACTTAGTAATATAATTTGCAGTTAACTGCTTACTTTTATTATATTTACGTAATAAAAATTGATATATTACCTTTTCCACACCAAACGACTACTTTATAGCAAAGAATTCCTAGCAAACTTATAGCTAATCATCAAAATGCGCCACGTGGTTTACACAAGAAAAATGCTGAATAGTGGTGCCATCTATGTCAAATAAGTTTAATTATAATCTAGCCTATTTATTTTTACTGGAACGGATCTCAGACAAGCATTAGAAATAAAATAACGCGAGATACAAGGGCGCCCGTGTGAGACACGGGCATGTGCAAATTTGCCAGAAACTTTCGCCCGTGTGAGACACGGGCAAATGCGTTAAGGGGTTAATTTTCTTTTTGTTGACTTGGGTATATTTTGATTTTGGGGGGAAGGGAGAAGATTATGAATGCTATTAAAGCACAAATTTTAAAACACTTCTTAGAAAAGCTAAAATGCTACTGTAATTATTTTCATTTACCTTTTATCTTTTTTTTATGTTAAGAGTTTTTTTCCTGTATAATTGTTTTAGAATATTTAAAATAGTATCAATTTTCTTTGTAAATTCACTTCTCACTTTTTTTTTTCCCCCAAATATCTTCTGGCGTTATGCTTTCACAAAGTTGGTAGGGATAATTTTGCACCTATGACTATTTAAAATATTACAGTCAAAAGTCATTAATCCGGACCTCAAAGCTACAAACTCTCTACGCATGTGCATAGGCGTTTACGCGTTTCGCGTAATACCTTTACACATGCGCATATGCGTGTGCGCATGCGCATAATACGTTTACGCATGCGCATAACACGTTTACGCATGCGCGTTTAATGTATAACGGATGATATAAGCTAAGCTAAAATTATCTAATTGTCTATTTCAGTTAATGTTGCAGATTGCGTTGTTCCTTAATCTTCGAATTGGATACGGCTTATTAATTTTTGCAGACTGTTAGAGCAATTTTATAAAAGTAAGCTTGAACTTTCGATTATGTCAAATAGAATTTCCGATGCTGGAGCTGCCAAAGGATCTATGAAGCAAAAGTATGTTTCGATGTCCATCAAACAAAAAGTGGAATTGCTGCAAAAAATGGATAAAGGCATATTCTTTGTTTCTCTAACCATTCCAAAATCTGTTTATCAATTTCACGCTGCTCTGGGGGGGGGACGTCGCGGCACGTAGTGAATTGGAATTTGATCTGTCAGCACTATGCTTATCTTCAGGGCAGATGATTTTATTTTATTTGGCTTATAATTCCTTACTAAACGTAGTATTTCATCTCGATGTACTCCATCTTTGATATGATTTAAATCAAATTCTTCGTCATTATAAATATCACGAATACACATCAAATAGTTTTCTGGTTGCAATTTTCTAATTTTGGCTATGAGTAATGTATGCTTTACGCATGCGGACTTTGAAAAAGAATGTTTTAATAAAGTAAACAAATAAATATTAAGCTTTTTTTTTTTTTTTTTGTAAATTTTGATACCCTTTAGATCATAATTGCTCTTTATTTCATAAATTATGGTTTCATATTTTTAATTTTATAATTTCTGCATGCCATCTTACCAAATTTAAACTGATGATCTATAATCCGGAAAAATCGATAATCCGGAATCGCCGAAGTCCCGACGAATCCGGATTAAAGACTTTTGACTGTATCAGTTTTCTCTGTAAATTCACTAGCCCCCGCTTTTTTTTTTTTTTTTTTAAATGTCTTTTAGCTTTCACAAAGTTGGTAGGTATAATTTTTCTTTCAGATTTTAGACCTTGCACCTATAAAGGTTTAGAAAAACATAAACAAAAGAATTATAGATCAACAATTTCAGAACCCAGGAAAATATGACAAAATTAAAAATGTTTTAATATTATTGACATGTGTTTTACAGGAAGTTTGCAGTGAATTTCTTATTTTGGGGAGAAATTTTAGATGGACAGTGAAAACAAAATTATTTGTATTTTCTATGTTTTATCCTAGAAGTCTCCCTCTTAAAATCTTTGTTTTCCTTTTATTTTTTCTTCCTTTCATTGGGCAGAAGCATGGAAAATTGCAAAAATGGTTCTAGTCTTGTTACATGAACAGAAATTTGTAGAAGGAAAATTTTTTATTAATAAAAAAATTGAAAGTTAGCTTAAAAAATTAATCTTTTATGCTGTGTGCACCATAATACAGAACTGTCACTAGGAATTTTGCTGCCTGGTGCAATCTCAATGAGTCCTGAATTTTTGCCCAGTGCATGTTCAAAATTCTAAAAATTCTGCCTCATTGGCTCTGGTGCTGATCCTGACCATATCTCATTTTTTATTTTTCTCAGTACTCATGCTATTAAAGAAATAAAATTAAAAGCTTTCTTAATACATTCTAAATACATGCAGTTTTTTTAAAATAGCAGACATTAATTAAAATTTTCAAATTAAAAACACATAAACATTTTGTTGAGTGTTTCTGCAAAATGTATAGGTTTTGTAGCTGTAAATGTATAATTATCCTAATAATGCCCAGCATAAAACACAAAGTAAAATATTTTTATCTTCCATGTGCCAGTGCATTTTCATTCATCGAAGCATAAGATATGGAAGATATTTTTTCTTTCTAACTCAATTGTGTATTATTAATTAACAAATTAAGTGGTTTAAAACAATAAATGTCATTCTTCATCTCAGTTGTTATGAATTTCTTGTTAGACTAATTAAAGTTATATATTTTTCCTTTTTACACTAACTGCTTTAAGTGGCTTTCTGTCCAATAGTATATGAAATAAGAAGTAGAAAGTACATTGATTTTGAAACAAGTAGCAGTACTGTGCCTAAATAAATGGGATGTTAAATATGCCAAACATTTGTGATGAAAATATTGTGAAAAGAGCTTAGTTTGGATAGGTGCTATGATGAATTTAAAATAAAAAATCATTTAAGTAAAACAGATAAATTTCCTGTGGTAATAATAAGAAATTAGATAATGTTATCTCTGAGTAAATTAAAACAATTCTGGAATGTTTTATGCCCCCCTTTTAAATCTTCTTTTGAAAATGTATGTGAAGTATGGTTCTTTTTGAATTTCTAAGATATGTGTTTAAGTATGAAACTTGGACTAAGTATTCTTTCCGTGTATTGCAGTTACAATTGCAGTTATTAGTGCATCTTGAAACACTTTGTAACCTTGTGTTAGGATTTTTTTTTCCCCCTCTAGAATTCCATATACAACATATTGTAGAAGTTTCACATGTGTTTCAGGTTTATCTACTTTTAATGGGTAATTTATTTTGCCAAAACTGCACTAAGAAATTCCAAATTTTCTGATTAATTTATGAATATCAGTCTTTTGATTTTATGAATATTGTTGGTTAAAGAAGTTCTGATGATTTTTTTTTTCTGTTTCTAATGAATATGAACTGAAACACCATTTTATTTTAAAAAGTTGTTTTTTTTTATTCGTTATTTTACTTTTATTTCATATTGCATTATTTTTTAGGCATTTGGTGTAGCACATCCTTCTCCAAAATTAGGCATCATAGTATCTTCTCGGAGTAAACAGTTACAGGTATGTTTCTTATCATTACCTGAAAACACTTGTTAAAATTATTAATATGAAGTATTAGGTAAGTAAGGTAAAAAATGGGTTTTCCTGTAGGTGAGGGGAATCTATTGTATTTCTGAACATTGCCATAGTTGAGACTTATATACTTTATCTGTTGAATTTGTAATATTTGCTGTCCATCAGAAAAATCGCATTAGTCAAAGGCCGCAAACCATGTATTGATTTTGACTGTAATGACCTTACAGATGAATAAGGCACCATAAGAAAAACAAAAAGAGCATTTATTAAAAATTAACGTTCAAAGAATAATAGTAAAAAAATTAACGTTCAAAGAATAATGGTAAACTCGGTGCACTACCTCGCTCCTACAACATAGTTAATCTACCATCTGCCTCCTCTGAGGCTAACATGCAACTGTCTTCTCTCTCACTTGCTGGGCTCTGCCAGGCAGCTGATTGGCTCACCGTAGCCAGATACATGACACCCCCTGGTAAGATTGTGCTACGCCAAAAGCGAAGCAGAATCTGAAAACTGAACCAACAATTACAAACTTAAATTGTATACTCCACATACCAAATTAATTCAAAATATATGAACATGTATACGTGACGTAAAAACATACTTTAAAATAAGTGCAATAAACATTCATCTCACAACAGATGAACAGATGACTTGATACAATGCCAGAGTTCTGTAATAATATAAGTGCAGAAAGTTTGTAGCTTTGAGGTCCAGATTATAGATCATTCCAGATAATGACGTCCTTGTTAAAGACTTTGTACTGTATATGAACATAATTGAAACCTTTTTTAATTAAATCAATTTTTTAATTATATTCTGTGGGAGCTATAGAAAAAATTGAATTCATTTTACCAAAAATCTCCATTCTTACAATTGACTGACTGCTTGCTATATGCATAATTGAAACATTTTTAAATTAAATCAATTTTAATTTAATTAGTTCTGTGAACACTACAGATAGAGTTTATTTCATTTTACCAAAAATGTCCACTCTTACAATTGACTGTTTCATCTATTGCTGTAGTACGCTACCAAAAAAATGTTTTTGAATTCAATTGATACATATTTCTTTTTTTAAAAAAATTCTTACCTTTTGTTTAAAAAAAAATAGGCATGCAGTGTAAAGTTTTGTGTAATAATAGTTTAAAAAAAAATCTGATGTGTACATCACATGACTTCCTTGTATGGAATATTAAATTAGAGACATTTTTTCCTGCATTTCATTGAAACTTATTGAACTCAATTAAATCTACTTTGTCGATAGCGCATAAACCACAATAGAATAAATGCACTTTTTAAAATTCACTATATTTATTTAGCATAGCAATACTCTGGCGCTAGGTTCATTTAACAGCATTACATCTCATTCTTTTTATGACTCAGAAAAAAAAAAAAATGTATATTATCTGAAGACTTATCTAATTGTTGCCATATGTTCTATTCAAATAATATAATAAATCTGAAATGATATATAAAAGAAATTAAACAAATAAAAAATAAACAGTTTTTCACAGACGATTCAGTGCTGCTTGACTAATGTGCATGCGCTACTCGTAAACATTCTCCTCTTTCCGAAACAGACTGGTGACAGTATTTTCTGCTAATATGAAACACTTATTCCCTTGAAATTTCATTTGAGATGTATTTCTCGTTCAATTAATTCAGTTCTCACTTCGCGGCAAGGCAAAAATAACAAAAACACAAAATATCTTCATTAAAAATTTAAAGATATAGAAAAATATAAAGCACCAAATACAGTTAAAAAATTAAAAAAAAACTTTTACAGTTAAAATTATAGTTTCTACGCAAAAACAAGCAATTCGGCCAGAGGGCAAGACAGATTATTCGGTGCTCAAAACTGAAAGTTTACTTTTGGTCTCACTCGGGAAAAAGACACTGAAGCCGTAGAAACTGATTTAATTTGTTGTGTAGGCTACCCTGAGTTGATATATGAGATAATTTAATAACTTAAATGATAATTTCATAATGGATTAAGCATAATTTAATTTGCTATAATAAAAGATGTTACTTTGTTGTTGTGAAGCTTAGTCTCTCTAGATTGGCTACAAATCCACTATTCTGCTAAGTTTAAAATGTTAACAAAAATGGCTTCTATTGTAAAAAAAATTACGCTTAGCCGCACTTAAACAACATTTAAATTGTTGATAATTATACAACTATACATGCAGGTTAACTAAAAGTATAGAAACCTTAACCGGAAGACAAGGACAACATAATTCAATCATTTTCGAAGCAAAAATGCACAATTTACAAACATATAAGAATAAAGATACTGATCTCGCTGAGCCGAGTAACAAAATGGATATACAAATACATATATTTATATACTTTTGTTATAATACGTATATTTATATACTTTTTTGTGGCCAATTGCAACCAAAAAGGGAGGTGCACATCTGCATGTTATAACAGTCCCACATACAAAATTTCAATGTTCTGAGACTATTTAGAGTTATGCAAGGTACATATATGTATGTTCAAATGCCACAAAAAATTCTCTTCTGAATCCATTTTAAATCAGTTTTATAATTTGTTTGGGGAAAGACTCCTTTATTCTGTACTTACGTACAGATCTCAGGTAAAAACATTGTTAAATTACTTTCAATAGCGGTCAAAATGGATATTTTTGTTGAAATACGATACCTGAAATTTTTTGCAATTACAATACTTCCTTTTTACTTCATACAAGGAAGTAAAAAAGAAGTGTAACAAATTAAACGATTGTCTGTATGTTAATTCCCTTCTCAGAATTATCTTAAAAATATAAAATTACGCAAAAATCAACCTTTTATTGGGGTTAGTTCTGTCAATTTTTAAGGAGAAAAGAATTTTGAACATTTGTTAATATAAGAGAGTATGTGTAATAACTTATATATACTGTTATGCATGTTAATGTTATATTCTGTAGGTAAAATTTTTACTTAGTTGGCAGAGCATTAAAGATTTAATAATTTATTTTTGTTTAATAAAAACTTTCCGTCATTCTTCCTTTTAAATTAAATCTGAGTATGCACCTTAAGTAAAAATTCAAGTATTAGAAAAAATAAATTAATTAATTAGATGAATAAAAATTAATAAAAAAATTTAAAGTTGTATATTCAGTAAGCTTCAATCATGAAATTTTTAACGCTTTTCCTGCCAGTCATGTGAGGTTGTTTTGATATTATTGCTGATTTGCTAAATCTTTAATCCAGAGAATTTTATGAATATGCTTTAGCATGTGAGATAGAAGGTAAAATTATTTCCCCAATTTCACTAGTGGTAAAATTAATCCCCCACTGCTACTTTATGTGCAAGCCCGCATATTTAAAAATAAGTCAAAATAAGAAAAACAACTAACAATATGCATTATTTTTGTATGAAAATATGTATATATATTACAAATGATTTTAGTATAAGGTAGTTACAATGATATTATAACAAACTATGTATTTCAGAATGTTATTCATCTATAATTTTTGCATGAAATGAAACTTTGCTTTAATTCAAAAACCACATACATTTATTACTAGTTCTAACTTTCACTCCATGCCAATATCAGCATACTTATTAAAAATGTAATGCCGAATGAAATGGAGAATAAACAACGTGGCGTTGCTTTTCCCTTGTCAGTGGCATATTATAAGACATCACCATGCTCTAGCACATAATTCAAAAACCACGTACATTTACTACTAGTTCTAACTTTCACTCCATGCCAATATCAGCATACTTATTAAAATTATGCGAATGAAATGGAAATAACAACGTGGCGTTTCTTTTCCCTTGTCAGTGGCATATTATAGACATCACCATGCTCTAGCACATAATTCAAAACCACGTACATTTACTACTAGTTCTAACTTTCACATCCAGGCCATATCACATACTTATAAATTAATGCCAATGAAATGGAATAACAACGTGGCGTTGCTTTTTTTCCTTGTCAGTGGCATATTATAAGACATCACCATGCTCTAGCACATAATTCAAAAACCACGTACATTTACTACTAGTTCTAACTTTCACTCCATGCCAATATCAGCATACTTATTAAAAATGTAATGCCGAATGAAATGGAGAATAAACAACGTGGCGTTGCTTTTCCCTTGTCAGTGGCATATTATAAGACATCACCATGCTCTAGCACATAATTGGCTTTTCAAAGATAATGCCATGTTATGCACGAGAAGAAGAATTCAACATTGTAAGTAAAATTATATCCATAAGTGTATCATAAGCTGCTTCAAATACAATTTAAAATTGGATTTTGAAAAGTCGTTTGTAGCACTAGAAGAAACATTAAATCACTCAGCACAGTAATTTGAAGGTAAGGTCCAAGCACCACATGCTGGTATGAATATGTACACTGCAAAAAAAGGGGGGGACAGTTCTATATCTTCCATTCTACTGTGCCGATTGATGAAATTCAAAGTACATTTTTCATGTCTCGAAAGCACGACTTAGGATATATATTAGATTTATATATAGCATTGTTGTAATGTAGGTATTTTGACACAAAATGGGACTTTTATATATATTATAAAATTTACTGAAATAACATGCAGGTTTTTTTTATATATTTCGATTCTACAACTCAAGTTATGCTTAATTATTAAATTTTGTAATGTTTGGTGCGAAAGTTATGGAGAAATTTAAAAATTTATCTTAGCATATTTTTTTCAGTTTGCACCAAGAATAATTCACTTGGTGAACTTCTTAATTACTGCAACCTATTTTCCTTTCATTTTATTTCATTGAGTGGTTAAAAGGTCACGCTCATTACATTAAAATAATTTTAATAAAGTGCATAAACCACATTGGGCATTATTAGCGCTTGTAATGACCATGCCAAATTTCAAAATGCGCTAATATGTAAATTCATGTATATCTTAGGAAATTTTGAATAAAAAATTCTATTTTTTTGCAGATGTGCCTAGAAATACATCTACTTTAAGATGATGTTAAAAATTTTATAGGTT